CATGAGAATGACAAACACTATAGGTTCTTTGCAGCATGCATAAAATTAACGTGGGGAAACTTGGATGACAAAACCATGACAAGTTATAAAGTCTGAAGTCAATAAAGAGTTAAGCATGCTCCAACCCATGGAAAACAATTGTCCTAATCACGCTTAATACCACGTTAGAGTCATATTTTGGCTTGGATTCATATTTTTAAACAAAGGTTAATGCTGAAAATAAAAGAAGCTATTCAAAACATTTTATCTCTATTTGACATGACAAGCACTAAAGATAACAAACAATAGTGAGGGGTTTACTATGGTGAAACACTGCTTCTTTGCCTGTCCTTCTTCATTCTTATCTATTATTTAAGAATGTGTGCTAGATGCAAAATAGAGTATACAACAGCCTAAACTTATATATGGGAGCCAGTATTTTCTTTTTATCTATTCCAGATTAGAGTACTTACATATTGCACTTAATTAGAGCAGTATTAAAAAATATGCGATTGTATCAGAAAGCACTCTCCAGTTCAGTCCAACACAACTAAAGCAAAGCTTGTATTGCAAACAATGGAAGAGCAGGGTCACACACACAAGGGGTGAAGCACCTATGGGAGTATGTTAACAAAAGATTGAATGAATGAATGAGCTACTCAGTGACTTTCCAAAGAGCAATTGTCATCTAACTGTCATCTACAACTCTTCCCATAACAGTGACAATTAAAAATAATTTGCTTTGCTACATATCTTATTAAATATCCATTTTTTCTTGGAAAACCTACATCTATTTTTTAAAAATCCAGCAGCTGTGTGCATATTGCCAAAATTTCTTTCATATAACATCCCAACACATGCTGTAATGATCATAAGACAAGATTTCAAAAGGCCTTTAAACACATTATAACAGTATGTGAACTGGTAAAAAGCCATTTAAATAAATACAGTTTTCGGTCTGAAATCTAAATTGCAGAATACGGGTATCAGATTATGCAAAATACAGTGCCAAATCCGACAGAATAAGATATTGCCTTATGCACTTCTCAATTTAAGATGGAGTTGTGTTTTTTTTTCAGTAAACCAAGTGCAGCTCTTTTCAAAGTGTAAATAAACAGAACATCATAATTATATTATCTAAAAATTACTGTAGGACATGACGTCTGGGCAAAGTTTGCTGGATAGCACTGTTTCTTAAGTCAAACAGCAGGAAATTCTGAAAATTGAAATATTTTAAAATGTTAGGCTCATGTATAATGTAGGTCACTCAATATTCCATTGGTTTAGAAATTCCAAGAACCATGGCATTTATAAAACAGTCCATGTCCACATGCTTAAGTCCTATTGCGTTTCTGCTGAATTCACTGTAAATAGCCATATATTTTGGGTTACACATACTGTCAGAGAAGGGATGCAATGCTCTTCTGCACACTGTCCAACAAAGCACAATAAACCCAGTCCAAGACATTTATCCCAGAAAGAAGCATATTCTTATTGGTATAAATATTACAATGACCTTATATTTGTTCAAAAGAATTATGCAACTACACTGGAAGCAGCAATATGATCACAAGAACCTGTATCTCTTACTTCTGGAACTGGAACTGTAATTCAGTATTTTGTAGTTACCAGCACCGCATTATTATTTTTACTTGCGAGAAACACAGCTATATGCTTTCAACGAAAGTTCTGTGTATACCACACACTCATGATATGTCCTCCTAAGGGTTGGGGATGCTCGATGGAAAAAAATGATTTTTTTTTACTGTGTGCTTTTAACGTTATACTATGCAAATAATATGTTAGTATAATGGTCCCATTGCTATGCAGAGACTTATTCATTCTAAATTGCATGCTATTGTAGGAATCTATCTGAAGGCCTCTTTGCTATTATCCTATAATGCTACTAAAAGTCAAAGTAAGATGTTTGAAAGACAGAGGCAAGAGTATGATGGCTTTTCAATACACTTAATTGCACACTGGCTGCAGTCCTGAAACCATATGGACAACCTAATTCCACTAAAATAAATGGGATTTAAATCCAGGTAAATGTACAATGTACACGGATGCAATCCTGACATTATAGATTTTACGAATAAAGTCCCAGTTTGTCAGTAGGTTCAGAAGGCTGTGGAGAAATCCACAAAAAAAGGAATAACAGAGTCTGTCTGTTGATGTCTTCAAATCGCATATTTTCTCTGAATCTATTCTGTATTTGACTGTGCACCCTAGCCTTTATATCATTTTTCCCCATCTCCTCCTTTCATATTTATATTCTTGCATGCTTTTGATCACATGCATGGACTAGTAGAATTATTTCTCAAAAGGTGTACCAGAAGATTATTTGTTACCTCTAGTAAAATCTCTCACATTCTATCTTTGACTGGCAAAATCCCTCTTTCAAAATAACAATATATACTGCCAATTTTAGTTTATAGACAGTTGTTACCTATTCGCAGTTTGGTTCTTACAGCAAATGTTCTGGCCTATTTTTGTACACGATCCATTAGCAGAAGCGAAATGCAAAAGCAGGAACCATATATGAGAGGGTTAATTCCTCCCATTTCACACCGTAATGTATTCATTTTCTGTTATAATCACATTGTTCCTTGTTAGATATCCCATGAAATGCAAATAATGGAAAAGGCTAAAATCTGCATTCTTGTAACACTAGAAGACTGGCATATCTTTCTTTATCATGTATAATGAAGACATTGTGCATTAGATTAATCTGACTAGGAATTAATGTTGTAACTGAGCTGAGGCTTAATAAATTCAGTTAAACTTCCCCTTGCATTTCAGTTTGTATCATCCCTTGCAGAATCTACATCTTAGGCTTTTCTGGAAAGCTTAACTATCATGCATCTATTTCTTTATTTCTATATTTTCACTTTGTATATATTTCTCATTTTGCAAATATATATATTCTGAAGCTGACCAGATGTTCAATGTCCTTTTCTTCCCAGGTGGCTCAGGGAACAAATTTGGACAGTCCTCTGTTGTGCTAATGCTTGTGTGGTTGGATTCAAATGTTCTGCTTGGGGGTCTTGTTACAGCTGACAAGTCAGAGGACTGCTATACAGAACAATTTTTAATGGCTGAACAAAGTCATGCTGATACCATTTTTCTATTTCTAATTGTGCTCAAAGTGGAATTGGCAAGAATAGTAAATGGAAAGATTTAGATACCTCATTTGGGTGAACAATAAAAACAGATAGATTCAAGTATTTAATGTAACTGTTAAAATAATTACACCTCTAAACTTCAACAAATAATTCTTTCTCTATAGGAATAACTCACAGTGGTGGTGGGGTTATTATTTCCCACTGGAAAAACTATATATGAAGTGACAATTCAGTGCAAATAGGAAATAAACAAGATGTTTTCGAAGACCCACCTGAATTATACCAGTTGTAAAAATACTCAAGGAAAGGCACCTTTTAATAAAATAAGTCCATCACTTCAACAACAATAGGAAGTCAGACAGAAAATTTTCACCAAATTCCCTACATATTTTTATCAAAGGATAACAAATCAACTTCTATGAGAAGTAAAATTAAGTGCCTTTAAGTGAAAGAAGAACCATGTAATGAAATCCTCACAGCAACACTTTCTTCCTTGTTCTCTACATTATAGCAACCAATCTAATTTTCCAGTCTTGTGATTTGAAACAGGTTGTTCACAGATAATCTTGCTAGCATTGTCTAAATGGAAATGTTATTATTTAACTTATCCAGTAATAAGGCATTGTATGAAAGAGTCTCTACACAAAGCATGAACTACGAGTATACTCAATATGTTTTCGCATGATAGATTGTCAGCAATAAAAAGATATATGAAAATCTATACAACCATCTCTCTCTCCTTTGCACAGCTTCCATATTATGGCCATTCTGAAAGAACACACTAATTTGATCTGCAATGTAGCTTTTAAACTAAATTTTTAACCAATGAGGCCTTAATTTATGAGAACATGAAATAAGAAAAGCCAATATATTATACATCAAAACTGCACACATAAATTAGAGAATACCCAAGTGATCAAGGTTATACAGAATGGAAAACTGTATTCTGATATATTCTGTAGATATTTCAACGATGGTTCTTCATTCCTTTTTCATTAGGAAATGCATACCTATATGATTCATGTACCGCTAATAACTTTTCAGTCACCTCAATAACGTATCAGCTTATTCTCAATCCTTATTCGTATCTGTGGATTGTAGGACATTAACTTACTATGTAGAACAAGAAATCTAAAGATGTTACTCTTTTAGTTCTGAAATGCATCATGTAATTAAAATATAAAACATCTACAGCTACAATCCTATATATACTTAACTGCAAGTAAATTCCATGGAATGTAATGGGACTTACTTCTAAGTAGGCATACATAGGATTATGCTGTAAGCATGTTGTGTATTATTTGTAATGTGAGCCTCAATAGCATTTTTTTCACCTTAGAAAAATAAGCCATCTTTTTGTAACTGAATACTTATAGTATTGTAGATATAACACCTTTAATACAATATCTTTCCCAACAACCCATTTCGTGTTTCTACTCAGAGATGTTGCTTATGGATTCCTTTGTGTTTACCCAGGTAACACATTAATTTTCCTCCACTTTTGGACTTGACATGCTCAGAAAGGGATATCATTAATTTTGTTCACATTCCTGTCAGCAAATTAGAATTAGTCAGTTCCATCTAACAAAGCAACTTTAAAGAACTGCAGACAAACAGAACTGGTTATCCTCAACCATCTCAATCTGCCCTTTGCCTAGAGCCGATAATGAAGGATGTACTATATGTATTGGAACATTTAAGTTGTATATGTTGCCAGAAAACATTAAGTTTTGTAATAATCATCTGTACGCCACGAGTTTGCAATCCAGTTTTATATCATAGTCCTGCTTTATCAGTAGAGACCAATAAAGCACTAACGATCAAGATGTCTGTGTAAAGCATGAGGAAGGAGGAAAACAAACCCAAGATGTGAACTATAAGCGTGTTATTTGATACCTTGCTCTGTACTGCCACTCCTGATAGGAACTTGTGGAAGCTGCCTCCCCCTACGGCTGCTGAAGGGTGTGTCTGCTGGAGACGGCTGCAAGGGGCTTCCTGGTTGGTGCATCCTGCAGGCAGAATGGAGATTAAATGCGATGTTGTCACATACATCTGCACCAAGTGAAATAGCTTTGTTAAACTGTATATAAAGCAGAGGAATCCTTACTTTGCACACGTACCACAAGCTGTGTGGAATATCTGTTCCACTTGATAAAAATATTGATTTTATCTATTTACGTGTGTATAACTGCAAAGGCATTTTCGAGTAGTTTCTAAACAAAGAAACGAGCTTTTAACGCTAAGAAAAAATCTTCACTGCCCTGAAATCAGTCAAACCACTGACCCCAGTGTGAATTTGGACTTTAAAAACATGTTTTGCTTCAATTGTCTTGAGCTGTCAACCCTAGCCCACTGCATTCAAAGAGTGATCAATTACAATGGTTGTGCACTGCAGCGGGGGTGTGCATGCGTTTGAGACAGAGAGACTCACACAGAGACAGAAAGACAGACAGAGATCTATGCATGCATGTGCATGTGTGTATGTGAATCTCTAAGCATTTATCCTCAACATAAATTTATCCTCAACATAAATCCCCCCTCTTAAAGCTTAACTGTTGATCAAGACATGGATTGTAATATTGCAGCACATGTCTCCCAATTGTTACAAAGTCCCAAAATACTTTCAGTAGAATGTAAGGTTTTCTGTCCAATAGAAAGTCTGCACATATTTTGAGACGCATTACTTGAATAAAGCTAACTATTAAAATGATTTTGTAAAACTACGGAATATAGGAAAATTGAGAGGTAGAGGATGTTCACACATCACCAACTGAAATCACGGTGAATAAGATCCTAGAATAGTCTTTTCGCTTTGCATGTGTCATCACTTATTTCTACGTTTCCTCTTTTATAGTATAACTCAGGGGAACTAAATTGGTATTGCTCTTCTCAGGGAAGTGTTTCCATGAATCTATGCACAAGTACCATGCAAAATCTTAGAAGGATAACAAATTAAGTCATGAGAAAGGAAATGACTGGTCAAGCATAACGGAAGCAGGAGAAGTCAACAAAAACTACCAGCTGCTTTCCAGAAGGTGTGACCAGGGAAAGTTTCCCCAGGACCAGGCATTACTCCTGCCCTTTGATGCACTGCTCTCACCATACATGGTCTCTAGATAATCTCTCTAAGAAACCCATTGTTTTGTGGGGGTTTCTCTCTCCATATCCAGTATGAAGAGAATGTATGATGTGTGAACACATTCTTGTTACAAAAACAGGCTTTTACATAGCTTAGTACATTGTTTTAAATGAAATATTCTGAAAGCTTTCATATGAATACATAACACAAGAGAACAATGGGGAGACAAAACAGAGGCAGATTTTAACCGGTATGATAAATTCCTTGGTATGGGTTAAATAATCCAGATAGTGACGAAGATAGGCTGAGCAGAGGATATGAGGAAAGTGTAGATATCATGTGGGGAGGGAAACAGATTGCACTGGAGTGCCAGGATGAGTGAATGCACAGCATGTAGTCCAGAAAGTACACCATCACATTAACATCTGGGAGGCAGAAAACAAATGCTGCGCTGTACATTTAATAGCAACCTTGTCAGAAGTGGAGAAGGTGGCGCCGACCCTCCAGCAGCTAGGTGATGTACAGGACATAATACTTTGACACTAGACTGTTCACTCGACCTTGAGCGAACATGATGCTTTCCCCTAGAAATGACTGGCTGCTCATTGATTCTTGGGGTTGGAAGTCCCCTTCTAGAAACCCATGGCAGTAGAACCCTAAAACATTAGGGCCAAAAATATAAATAAATATAATAGTTCAGTCGTTAGCTGCATATAAACTATGAGCTGTCTCTCTCTCTCTCTCCCCCTCCCTCCCTCCCTCTCAGACACACCCCCCCATCCCACAATGATGTCTATAGTTGCACCCATGATTTTCAGACTCAATAACACTTATTATCATCGTAATTCTCTGTAGTAAATGATCGCACAACAATTTTTTACTTGCTATACAGCAGAGGTAGGCAACTTGTGGTTCTCCAAGTGTTTTGGCTGACAAAGTTCAACAGCTGTACCCAGCCCAGCCAGTGGGGAGGGATGATGAAAGCTGTGGGCCAAAGTTCCCAAAGGCCACATGTTGCCCTCTTCTATTATTCAGAAATATGCTTGGAATTATGGAACTGATAAACTAACAAGACTATGATACAACTTCTTTCAATTTAAACAAGACATTCTTTGTTTCATCTTAGAAAACATATTAGTTAAATAGCCGATTCATAAAAAATGCCACAGCCTCTCTTTCTTATCAGTAGGCATGCATTTACTGTAGATACAGATCTATCATGCTAAATTCAATTGTACAATATTGGTCTCTACTGGATGCAGCTGCCATGGTATATACTATTCTATTTCTTCAAGTTCTGAAGAATACAAAAAGATCCAAAAGGGCAGCTCCTCCCATCACAGTGATGGCAAAAAGTGCTCCTTCAAAATGTTGCTCTGTCCATTAATATTATGGCTATCTTCATAATATTATACTAATGGTACAGGATTAAATTTAATGTTGCATTAGTGGGATCCTGCTGACTTATGGTGTATTAGCAAATTGGCAATTTTGATGGTGCCCATAAGTTATTACCTATTTAGAAATACTTATTCCCATAGACATATCTCAAATGATCAGGTTAGTTTTAAATAAGATGATTAATGTGCTCTCACAGCTTAAAGCTAGATGAGGATCTTTAAAGTTAAGGTATGGTAAGGTAAATACACTGTCTTGAATTGTTTGTGTTATATGTGGGAATCCTCTATTTACATCTGACAAATATTTTCAAAAGCTGAAGACTGTATTTTGTAAATTGGAGGAGAGATGATCACCCTGCCACAAATATCCTTGAAAACATATGCAACTTCCAATCAGAGAGTGCAATTTCTAGTCAGAGAAAGTGGGTTTAGCTTTCCAGATCTTGATTTATATCATTTGTTGATCTGCACCAAATAGGGAATGGTTACTTATATAGACATTTGGTCTGCCTTTGTCTAAGTTTATGTATCATTCATAGAAAGCTCTATTATGCATACATATTTCATATGTGCATACTTAAAATGATATATTCAAATATTCAGCTATTTTTTCATTTTCTCTTTATAGTTTTTTGTTGAAACATCACCTAAAAATAATTTTTAAAAACGATTTGTGGAAGCCTGTTAGCACAACAGGTTATTTTCCCTGTTTTTCCACAGCAGCTTTCTGGGCTGCCTGGAAATCTCTGGCGGACAGATTATTCCGTTAGCAACAATGCAAACCTGATAATTCCACTTTTAAACCCCCTCTGAGGGGAAGGGTAGAACCAAACTGTGAGAAAAGAAGAAAGAAGTTTAAACCTCGTTCTCCCAAGGTAACCTTTTTCCACTTTGACTCAGAGATATGCCTAATTGCAGGAGAGTGGGGAGACCATTACACATATGCCAACTCTATGTGATTAAAGGAATATTTATTTTGGCCCTGATGTGGAACAATATTTGAGAAGTGAAGATTTCTGAGTGACAAAATGGCTGTCATAGGGCATGGGAGAGATTAAAGCTACACCAAATGGATTTCTAGTTTACTAGTAGACTGCTTGTTAGCCAGCCCAGTGCAAGAACCATAGTATAGAAAATCAATCCAGCTACACATTGTGACAGTAATTCTATGAAAGAGAAGCTGTGAGGCTCACAAAGCTATCTGTTTTCACTGTTTAACCCAAGTGGGATATTTAATAAGACATGTAATCACATCTGTAGTATCAATAACTAGCATTCTATTTCATTATATATACTTCCTGTGTCAGGGTTTTTTAATATTTTACCTCAAAGGTCCACATGAGTGAGCTGACTGAGGACCACCAGTCACAAAGTGGTGTCATATGAAAGTACAGTTTGGAGTAATGCTTTGGAAATTGCTGGTATTATTTTAAATGCGTTTCTCATTCCTCTCCAAAAATTGCTAAATTCTTAGCCACAGCTACTTCCTTGTACCAGGGAGTTCCAGAATTCAGCTTTCCTCAACCTAAGTTGAGACAAGGGCTCAAAAAGTATAATTACTCAGCCTTGCCATTTGGGGATTTTTTTTTCTGATCCAAAGGCTAGGATTTCCATTGTGGTGCCCAGTTGTTGATAGTCAACCCTCTTGACACCCATCTGGTTCCCTGCCTCCAGTGATTGTTATTGCTTAAGATTATTTTAAATTATTTTTTCATCAGGAGATTGTCATGCTTCAATCAAAGTGTTGCCCTTTATTTAGACTCAGAATAATGATATTGTATGTTGGAGTTCAGACACACCATCCCTGTCTTGTATTTAGTGTTCTTGAGCAATTTAATTTTCTATTCATTTCATAAATTTGTTTTCTTTGAAATAAGTTGTTTGTGACTGAGCATCCCAACAGGGAAGCCTTTTATGAATGAGAAAGCACCTCTATGGCAGCAATTTTGTGAGGTTCCCTCAAATTTCACTAATCCAAAAGGTTACACTAATCCAAAAGGTTTAGGAACTCCTGCTCTAAGTAAAGAAAATTATGTATTTTATATGCTTTTTTCCTCTTTCCCCAACATGCCTCTCAACATCTTCTTATCCATTTCCTGCCATTTCTCCTCACCTTCTTTTACACTTTCTCCTCGTCTTCTTTTACACTTTCTCCTCATCTTCTTTCACACCTAGGTGCCAGTCATCCCTTCCTCCTTCAGCTTTTATTTATTTATTTATTTATTGATTGATTTATATCCTGCCTTTTTCCTACAAAGGGCTCAAGGCAGCTTACATCATTCTCCTCCTCCATCTTATCCCCACAACAACAACCCTGTGAGGTAGGTTGGGCTGAGAGTCTGTGACTGGCCCAAAGTCACTCAGTTGGCTCCATGGCTGAGCGGGAACTCGAACCCAGAGTCCCAGACTCACACTCTTAACCAGTACACCACACTGGCTCTCTTATACTCTCTTTTACACTCACTTCCTCCTTTACTGGCATCCCTATCTTTTCCCATTCTTCTGTATCCCCAGTTTTCAAAATTTATTATTATTATTAGTAGTAGTATTAGCCTTGCACTTTGGTTGACTTTGCTGTAAGTGGGTTGCAGTGAGCCTCCCCTCCCCGCACACACACATACTGCTTTGTGTAAAATGGGTAAATGTAAAACAACAATCTAAATACATGTGATATTTTTTAAGTTACTTAATTTAGGAATTGAAGTGGAATTATATTTTAAGTGCCAGCTGTCTAATTGCTTATTTAACCCCTGGACTCAAGGATGATGATCACTATCTGTTCCCAGATAGGTTATATTTAGGGAAGCACAATATGACAAAACGGCTTTTTGCTTTTCATATATTTAAATTCACAACTTCATTAAAGGTGATCATGACATTTCATCTACTGAAGAGGCCTCTAAGCAACTGGAGCAAGTGCAAGAATGCACAAGTAAATGTGTCATTCTCTCCTCCTACTTGAAAGCAGTACAGTATATGTGAAAGTTGGCATTTTCAGTTAACAGAGAAGGAGAGAGGGAGAGGGAGAGGGAGAATGGCTGCTCCAGCCACTGATACGGTGCTAGAATATATCTACCAATTATACTTTATTCAGACTTTAAAACAGTGTATTTACTCTGTAAATCACTTTAACAAGAAAGTTAAATGCCATCATTGGAAACTGAACCATACCATTTTCTAATTATATTTTGAAGTTTAAATTCTTTTTTCTTTTATAGTTAAAGTAAGACCCACAAAACAAAACCAACAATAACATGACTTCATAAACATTAGATTGTCCTTCTTGCAGGTTGTAAAATTGGGGTAAATAAACCTTAGCACTTGTGCTGTAACTCCATTAAGATTCTAAATTCAACACTGCAATCCCATATTTACCTGGAAATAAGCTCGACTGAACGCAAAAGGACTTACTTCTGAGTAGATATGTGCAGGATTCCCGTACAGCAGCACACTCCGATACATGCCTACTCTTAGGGCAGTCCAACTGAGTTCAGAGAGATTTGGCTCCACACATGTATCCATACAGGACTGACTTGCTTATAACTGTATTATTAGCCTAACTCATGTATTGAATGCATATTCTTGTCTCAAGAGTAATTGGCAGGAACAAGACTGAGACAGTGCCTGGAACAGGATTCAAAACACTGGGTTGGATCCAAGATCTGCCTCGCATGGATGAAGGGGACCAAGTGGAATAAGGAGGCTGTCTTTCCCTGTCTCCCTGAAATCCCATATCTCTTGGACACCCTCTGGAACAGCACTGGAAGTAGCATGAGGGTCTACAAGTAGAAAGGACATATTGAGTATTGCTCCCCTACACACCCTCTCCCACTGACTTCAGAGCTGAATTCTGCCTGGGAAGAGCTCTTGCTGGTGAGTGAAAATGCTGCATACAGGTCTTAGGAATGAAAGAAGAGGCACTGCTATTAAGCAATGTATTACACTGCAAGTCCATGCATATCTGCTCACACGTAAGAACCACTGAGGTTTATGAAGCTTACTACAAGGCAAATGGGTGCAGGATAGAAGTCTTTATTGCGGAAATGTGAAAGTTCTCTCAACCTGCAAATCTAATTCTGGAAGCCAAAAATAAAGTATCCTCCAATTCCATGTGTCTTGTTCTGTTATAGTAGGGATGGGCAGCAAGATTTTTGGTCTGCAGCTGTTATCAACCAGAGCGTGTATAGCCAATGTTAAGGGATTATGGGAACTGTAGGCCAAAACTTCTGGAGGGCAAAAAGTTGCCTTCCCCTGCT